AAAAAAAAAAAAAAAAAAAAAAAAGAGACACAAAGAGAAGAGATATTTCACAGCCTCACACTTTAGGTGAAACTAGGTGAAACTTGACACAAGCCGGGATAATAGCTGCTCTTTTCAACCTTACTCCAGCTCCAGACGTTGGCACGCTTTCGTCAAACCACAGAAAGAATTTGTAAACGGATTATCTAGTTGATGAGGCGCCGGGACCTCAGGATAGATGGCGTTTAAGGGCTGAGCTGCTCTGGATTTCGGGCTTTGAAGCATCTCAGTTTCTGGGTGGGGACGGTCGCACAACATCTGCAAAAGTGGAAGCAACGACAGAAATAGCTACCAAAAAAGTGCCCCAAAGTGCAATTACAGCCAGAAGGGGTTCAAAGGCTTTTCTCTCTTCTTTAACTCTTCATCCGTGTCAAATCTGGACCTTTAAAAACTCATTCCAAAATTACGCAAAATGTCAGAAACAATTTGGGCTGCAGCTGGTCTAAAACAAGCTGACAATTAGAAAACGCACGTAGGTGAAGTCATTTTCATCATTTCCCTTTCGTTGAGGTTTACCTCTGCCAGCCTCAAGGCACAAGGCAGACACCAGAGAAAGGGAGATTTGATTTTCTGCTGTTTTTTATTGTATAGATCCGTGTTTGTAAGTCAGATCAATTAAATAAGAGAAATTATTCTTCTGTTTCTCAGAGCTTTTATGGAACTCCAGGCTTCAGATGCTGCCAAGGGTCTGGAGAAGAACTGGGTAAATATTTATAGAGTCAGCCATCATTAGTTTCTAGAGAAGATAATGTAACTATTTAGGGACCGATGTTGCTTTGAAACAGCCAATGGGACAACAGCGCATTGGGATGCAGAACAATCACAATCACTCTGACTCCATTTTAAACGTGTAGAAACTCTGACCTCGTCTCACAGGTTGCATCGGGTTCCAACCGGTCAGGATCGCTTCCTTATTTTTCTTTGGGACTTATTTGTAGCTCGCCCACTTCCTGTGTCACAGTTGTGATTTGTTCCGCCGTAACCCAGGTGGTGTGACATAAGACGGGGACGTGTTTATGTGTCGCACAGAAAAACGGTGTCAACACAAAGGAGGAATGTAGGCTAGATCTTTGTCTCCAAGAGTCAGAACATCAGCAGTTCCTGTTCGCCTCGGAGAACACAAACATGGCTCTATTTAGAAAACAGGATGTGCTCTCACACAGAAGCAATGTTTATGAAACAAAGAAGACGTCCTTATTAGCCTAATATTTACCGAACATGAGACTGAGAAACAGTTCAGGGGACACCTCAGATGTTTAGACATTTTTGGAGGCGTGTGTGCACATGAGAAGTAAATCAATGTGGAAGTAGGTCTGAAATTTGAATTCAAAAATGGATTTAGCTATTTAGCTGCTCTATTAAAGCGAGATGGAGGTGCAGAGTCTGAATGAGCCTGGGGGCCGGAGCCCTACTTCCTATCTGGGCCAACGCCGGTTTGTAGCAGCATCACAGAGGGGGGGTGGGTAAGACACAAAAGGCTGCTCTTTCCTTGGCTTGTTCTTTCCTGCCCCCTCTTCTTATGTCTGCTTCGCAGCTCTGTGAAAAACGCCGCGATCCAAAGATTTGGTTTGCAATCAGCAGCCTGTCACAAAGACACACGATTTGTTCTTATTTCTTTAGAAAGAAATTAATAGGTTCAGAATACATTCTTCACAAAAAGCCCCATCAGGATGGAGGAGTGACAGTAAAGAAGAAAACTGGAAGATTTAAAACAGCCTATGAACTGTAATTCATTAAATATCACTGATAAGGCGAATATGTTTTTTGTGTTTTTTTTTTTAAAACAAAGCAGATCATGAAAAAGTACAAAAGTATTTTTTCATCCTCCGAAAAAGTCAGGATGATTTGTCCTTGTCCCTGAGCTCAGACCCCCCCCCCCCACAGCAGGTCGGGCGTCTTTCCGCCCGGCCCATCAGGTTGTGGAAAAAAAAATCTCTGCTCCGATCGGCTGTCTTGGCCATTAGCGGAGGACTCCTCAGTGGCGGCCTCTTCCTCGGCCTCTTCCTCGGCTGCCCCAGCCTCTTCCTCTTCCTCTGGCGCTGCTCAGGTGTCCGGCCGAGCGCCTCAGCTTCCTCCTCTCCTCGTGGTGCTCCCGCTCCAGCTGCTGCTGCTTCCTCTGCTGCTCCGACTGCGCCGGGGGGAAAACAGGCGTGTTAGCTAACATTAGGTGTGGTCAAGATGGAGGGCTCTCATTTTGGAGGCCAGCCCCCGGAGTCGCTTTAAAGCCCGAGGGTAATAAGAAGGATGTAAACGGTGTAAAGGTCATCAATGGATTGTCGTCTAGCAGTGCCTTCACCACGCTTAAGACCATCCAGACTGTTTGCATGTGTCGTTCCAAGATGGTGGAATGACCTACCGAGCGCTACAAGAACAGCAGAGTCCCTGTCTTGTCTTCAAGAAACTCTTGAAGACCCCCCTCTTCAAAGAGCATCTCCTATCCTAATCCTAACCCGTACCTCTACCCCCCCACAGCTCCTATCCTAACCCTAACCCGTACCTCTACCCCCCACAGCTCCTATCCTAACCCTAACCCGTACCTCTACCCCCCACAGCTCCTATCCTAACCCTAACCCGTACCTCTACCCCCCCACAGCTCCTTCTGTGGTCCCTCTACCTCTATCTCTATGTCACCACTGACTGATCAGTGTTTCTCCTCTATATAGCTTATTGTCATAGTGATGAGAAATGTTAATATTGTGTCTACTCTGTAAGTCGCTTTGGATAAAAGCGTCTGCCAAATGCAGAAACATAAAAATAAACATAAAGGTCTGTGGAGCCCTGTCCTGTAATCAGGACCCAATGAGATGGAAATTCTGGAATCAGAGCAGCTAAAAGTGTCGAGATGTTGAGAGCGAACGGGGGTTTTCTACCTTTTTGAGCGTGAAGGTCAGCTGCTTGCTGCCCACTGCTGTGTCAGCCATGCTGCTGACCCCGGAGTTTTCCTCCAGCTTCAGGCGATCCTCCAGAGAAGCCCTGAGAGACACAAAGTCAGCCGTCACCATGGCGCCCAGAGCGTGAGGTACAATGTCCAGTTTGTGTGAAACTAAGACAGTAAAGGCCCTCCTCAAACATCTGCATCACATACTTCTGCAGCTTCTGCTTGCTTCCGCCCACGTTGCTGAAACTTCGGAATTCCTCTCCGGCTTTGATCTGATAGAACTTGGGCTGGCTGGTCTTCTTGCTCTCGGCCGCGCCGGAGCCCTCCTCCCTCTCCAGCAGGACGGTGTTGCGGTCGGCCTGCTTCCTGTCGCGCCTCCGGCGGTCCCAGTCCTCCTGCCGGATCAGCCGCCTCTGCTCCCGGACCTCCTCCACCCAGCTCTTGTCGTCGTCGGAGCTGTCTTCCTCAGAGCTGGGCCGGCCCTCCGGCTCCTCCTCATCCTCAGCCCCCTGGACAGAGGAAATGTGGTTTACGCGATATGTTTTCAGACCTGTGAGCAGCTAGGATGTATCCGAATGTTTTTAAAAACAGAGTCAAAAGGAATTTTTTCATGATAATTTAACTTAATAAAGTCCCCAGAACTCTCTTAAACTGTTGTTTTTGCATTTGTCAAAGCTCAGAAACCACCAGGACCGCGGTCTGTTACCTCCTTGGCGGCGACCGCCTGCTGAGCCAGCATTTTCAGCTTCTTCCTCCGTTTCTGTCCCACTTTGGAGACGATGGGGTTGAGCAGCCGGAACTCCTCGCTCTGCTCGTCCACCTGGTAGTCCGGGTTCTCGAACATCACCTTGAAGCGGTCGTCTCCCAGGATGCTGGGGAGAACCTGCGGTTCGCGGGACACACCGACGACGCGCGTGAATTCGGGGTTTAGAAAGATTTATGCAACATACCGGCCTCAATCGTCTCTGTTTTAGTCTTTTTTTCTTCATTCTATTCAATTTACAGTCGTAGCTGCTGTTACCAAACAGCCGGAAAATCCTGAGTCAAATTTTAGGGTTGTCAGCGTCTGGTTGATTAGCAAGAAGAAAGGGACAAAAAAAGGACTGCTAGGCAAGGGAAATCTCCTCGACTGACGGAAGAAGAGATTACAGTAAAGAAAAGCCTTAAAAGGTCAAACTAACAGATCAATTCCAGTCTTTGGGACACAGGTGTGTCAATGCTGACCTTTGGCTCGTCACAAAAGGGCTTATTTTAGAGAGCTGGAAATGGGAGAGGGTGGAGATTTAACAGACGAGCTTCCAGAGTTAAAACCTGGACGATTGCTGCACGGCTGAGCTGGTCAATGAATTTAAACCTGATTATGACATCTATATTTTTAAACATCACGTAAGAAATAAAGCCACAAACAGAGAAAACATAAAAGTAGCTGAAGTCTAATTACAGACGTCGGTAGCCATTTTTTGCCCACCTTGCCCTTCTTTTTCCTGGAAGCCTCATCGGCCTCTTGGTCTCCTTCCTCCATCAGCTTGAGAGCCAGCTCTTTGTTCACCTTTGGCAGTTTCTGTGGCAGAACAAATAACTCCGATCACAAACACACAATGTTTCCAGCTCTGTGAGATAAAGCTTTTTCCCAACAATGCTGAGCAGAAGCTGAACTGATGAAGCTGATGGGCCGACGTACGTGAGGACAAAAAAAAAACAATTAAATCAACGGGTACAGAGAAGAAGAAGATCTGGAAAAACTGGATCCATTTTTAGGGATGAGACATCTCCTCACCTTAACCTGCACCCTCTGGGTTCTGGACTCCTCGATCTTCTGACGGATCTTATCCTTGCGATACTCCTCGTATGCAAACGGATTCGCCATGGTTTTCACCTGTGGGTTGGGTGGAGAGGGGGGAAAGGGTCAGACTGGACGCCGAACCGCCGCTTCACAGAAGGTCTCAATCCAAACCCGCCTTGTGATACAGCCTGATGTCCATGAAGAAGCCGTGCATGTAAGCTCTGAGCAGGGAGGATCCCACCAAGTGAGACAAACCTGTCAAAGGAGAGAAAGACTCGTTCAGGCAGCAGCCAGAAGACCAACCATAGAAGGCACAAGATCTGGTTTAAGCTTGAATTTCCTGGTTTACACTTTATTTTGCCATAAATGTAACTTTTCCACAGGATGACTCAAGGAACAATCGAATCTGACACAGTGATCTCAACCGCCTGCCCAGAGTTTGATCATGTATTGTACTGTGTAGAATAATGAGGGCAATATCTGTGATTAAACAGCATTTTCGTCATGTCAACATCGTGTGAGAGCCTCTGAGGGCCGGATGGGTGCAGCTGCTGTGACTGGTGGAGAAACTATTTCTGTGAGTTCATCTCCAAAACATGTACAAACTTGCGCTTATTACATGAGTGGCCTGACTGGGATCCTCGCTCTGCGTTTAAGTGGGTAGATTCCAGCAGCTCCTCGGTTACATAACGGGGCCCACAGCGTGCGGCTTCTGTAAATCAACACTGCGCCCGCCCCCCCTCCTCCTGTTCTTTTATTCCACGTCAGCCAACCACCTTCCTTCTTGTCATTTGATCTCTTTACTGCTGAGCCTGCATTCCAGTGTTCATTCAACCCCTTTGGTGTCCACGACCCCCACCCCCCCTCCTCCCGGCACCCGACTTTTTCTGACCTAAACCCTCCCAACCACTCACCGGGCCTCTGCTCAGACCGCCCAGCCCGAGAGTTCAGGAACTCACTCATTCCCAATTATGGGCAAAACTTCCAAAGTTTTCCTAAGTCCCATATTTTTCTTTCCCGTAATTTCTTAAAATCTCCTACCTTTTTAAAGAAAAAATAATAATTCCACAATTGTAATTGTGCTTTGGGGGCTTTGGCCAATGTGGTGAAAAATAAGGCAGCAGGGTCTCACCCAGATTTTCCAGATCCTTCCGGGTGACAAACTTGTAATCGTCGTACACCGTGCACTCTGGGGTCTCCTCCAGCTCCTCCGTGAGGTTGTCCAGGAAGGAGCACCAGCGAGGTGCGGGGCCCAGCGCCTGAACACACACAGGGTTCACATTTAGACCGACAGGTGAGTACGAAAGCTGGCGTGTATTTGCTGAAACGGGAATAGAACAGCTATTCCTGCTCGCCTTCCCATTCCGTCTTTTTCGCCGGGAATCCAGAGGAGTTGGACTGACTTGAAACACGCACAATCCCTTCAGATCTCCAGAGGTGAAGAAAGTGTTACTTCACACAGGGCTTTTCTTCACATATACAGGCAGATTTCTCATCCCCAAACACGACTGCGTGCTTCAGATATTTGTCAAACAGACAAATAAATCAGAAAATAAGCAAAAGGATCGGCTGATTCTCTTGTGACTGCTAAACTTTGTGGGAGGTTTTGTAAAAAGATTTGTTTTATGTTTGCAGATGAGCATATTTGGCTTTGGATTAAGACTTTTGAATCCGACTGACAGAACTGATGCATCAAGTCGTCCCTTTTCTGCCTCTTTTTGCCAATTTTGGAAACACCGAACAACTGTTTGTCACACTGTTTACATAACTGTCACAGGCCCAAAAAATACCTTTAAAAGTGTCTGCGTGGCACAGTTTGATACATTTGGGGATACATAACACATCTTTTCCTTGAGTAGATATCTCCATTTAGCCTAGGCCTAAAAGCACCAACTTTTTCTTTTGGAAAGTTTAGCTAATCGCGTCAAATGCTCTAAATGACTCCTCAGAGGTTAAAGACTAAACAAGGATTAGAATAATTTCCATTCAAAAGGACACATCCACCTTCTCCTTCACGGTCAGAGAGAAGGCTCCTGTTCCCCAGCAGGAATGGACCCATTTACACAAAGTAAAGAGTTTACTGTACACAGACACATCACATGTGACATCAGAGCTGAGGCACAGGTCAAACCGCTAAATATAATTCTTAAACATCAACATGGTGCAGCTGAAGTGCTGGAGGCGGCGGGGGCCTGGGCCTGTACTCACCGGGATGTAAAATGTGTTCATCTTTGGGTCTTCGTTGGCAGTGAAGAGCATTCCTGTTCAAAAGACACGAGGTGAGAAGACAGAAGTGCAGAAGTCCTGAACATGTTTGAAACTGTGTTCTGATGGTACAAATCTAACCGATGTTTCAAACGTTCTGCTGGGAAAAAGCTTCAGGGAGGCCGAGAGGACAAACGTGTAATAACTAATGGGCTAAATAACAGGGGTCCTCTTATTTAAATCCTTTTAAAATGGAAGAGCGCGATGGCGCCACCCAGAGGTAGAGAGAGGCTGACAGAGACACAACTCTCTGTTGGGCTTTATCAGCTTCTTGTATGAAGAAAATGCTTCTCACCTGAATTAGGATACATGCAAACGTCGTTGATGTCACTCTCAGGCTGTATGGAGGAGAACATCTTTCCCTGTGGGGGACCAATGAGAAGGAAAGCAATTAACTCCAAAACAAGACATGTCTGACGGCCACCCTCTAATGACACGACAAAGCCAGACAACTTCCCTCCAAACCACTCATTGTTTTTTTCTTTAAAGATTCAAAGATTACTTGTCTAATGAATGGAAGCACAGCTGTAGATTAACCAGATACAGGTCCGTTTTACTCTTAAGGCTGGAGAAATCTTTTGGATCGTCCCTAGATCTGGTACCATGGCAACTTCCTGTGTCCCCTGGTTAAGTTTAATCTATTGAACATCATCAGCTGTGAGGATTCAGATCACATGACACAACCTGAGCTACGCACAGGACACAAAAGCCACAAACAATGATGGGCCAGTGTCAAAAGTGAAGCCTAGAACTCAGATTTTTTACATTGAAAGTTGAAAATGAGTCAACCAAAACCTCCCAATCGTCAGTCTTTTTGGAGAATTGTTTTGGACTGATGTGAAAAAAAAAAAAGCCGTCAATGGGCTTTTGCTTACGGTGTCTTTGTTCCACATCTTTATTATCTTGGAGTCGGCCGACACCACCAGGTCCAGCTGGCTGTGGAAGTTGATGGACTTGATTGGCAGGTTGTAGAAATGGTCTTTGACCAGCAGCGGCTGGCTGGAGCGCAGATCATACAGCAGCACCTGCAAAAGGGGGGGGGGCTAAGTTTAGTGGCTGAACAGACTGGTGACCGGAGAGTAGGGGCCGCAGAGCGACGCTCACCTGCCCAGTGCTGGTGCCCACCGCCATGGTGAGGGAGCCGTTGAACTTCAGGGCGCTGATGGACGGCAAACTCTGAACTCTGTGGGCAGAGAGGATGGAAATGTCACCGCTGGGGGGGCTGAGATGAGATGAGCCGTCACTCCCCCCGGTGTGAAAGCTCGGGACTCACTCCGCCCCGGCGGGGAGGCTGCTCAGGGCGCAGTCCAGCAGGCCCACTCGGCTCCGGACGCGGGGGTCCCAGCATTCGATCCGCCCCTGCGGACAGAGTAGATTAAAGCTGGAGCAGAGGCCCAGTTACACTCCTCATACGTGTAAATCCCTCTGCTGTTCAGCTACATTTTACCCCGACTGCACTCCACAAACTCTAACGTGAGCTCCAAAGTAGTGATGGCGAGAAGGAGCTTCATAAAGCATAGAAGCATTCCAACCAATTTTTTCACTGATGAGTTGAAGCTTCATGGTGCTTCATTTGCTCTGTTGTGCCATCTAGTGGACAATAAATATAAACCGTCTCATTGCTTCTAATGAGACTCTGGCTTCGGTGTCTGAAGCATTGAATTGATTAATCCATTATGTTTGTGATGCTCCAGTCCCCCCACAACCCCATTAGAGGATCAGCGGTTCCCATAATGGACGGATGGATGTTTGTGATGCTTATACATAAATGATAAACTTTTATATGGTGTGTCTTTATGATACTATGACAGGGAAGCTTGAATAGATCGCTAACAAACTCGTAATTAAGTCCCAGGTCCACAAAATGTGAGGGAGGGTTCATTGCATTTCGCTTACCTCAGCGGACCCGGTCGCAAACAAGTGATGGACGGGGTTGATGTCGCACACGTTGTTCTCCCTGGTGACACGGGAAGAAACGAAGGGGGGGGGGGGGGGGGTCAACACGGGCGCATGGCAGCGGGCGAACATGCGCCACAGCCGGCCGTACTCACACAGCCTCGGTCTGGAGCGAGTTCAGGAAGCGGCCCTGATCCAGGTTCAGCCTGTACACCTGTGAGCTGAAGGGAAAAAAACAACAAAACACACAATCTGAGACACAGACAGCGAGAGGCTAAAACGTCCCATCTCAGCGTCCGGTCAGATTCTCACCCCGCCCCCACAAAGTAGAGGTCGCAGGAGGGGTAGTGGTAGGAAAAGTCCCGGCCGAACTTGGGGATCCGGGTCTTGTAGTAGTGACCGTTCTGGGAGTGGAACTCCACGTAGCGGTCGCCCAGCAGAAACACCAGCTGTGCAAAGAGACACAACCCAGAAGCATGAAAACAGACTCACAGGACCGCTGTGAGCTGCAGGTGAAGAATAAACCAGAAGCTGTTAACGCACTCACAGCCGCTTTCAACTGTCTCCATTTAATCATTCAAAGGACACTATTGTTTAGTACGGAAAACTTCATTTAAAAACTGTTTTACGGCCATGTTTACACATTCTCTCCCCAACAGATTTGAATTTACACGAGATTTTCATTTTTCTCCATGTCTGTTTCTAACATTCTTGGTTTTTTATTTATATTTGACATTTTGGTTCAAATTAACTTCTGAAATGCTACTTGTATAGAGTCTAAATTTGTGTGAATTATTTCTATGAAAACAGTGTGTTTTCTTATTACTATGTTTTTATTTCCAAAGAAGCCTGACTCTAATTATGGGAGTCAGTTTATTAGAAGTGGCTTTAACAGCACTACTATAAACCGGAAGAGGACCTCTGCGTTTTCCGGGCTGCGCTGACCCCGCCCACTACTGGTCTTTTTGTCTCAGTCCTGTGCCGGTGCCCTGTAGGACTGTTCTGAAGGCCATGCGGGGGAATGAGAGTGAGCGGAGGGCGAAGTGGACGAGATGGACAAAGCACAGAGACTACGATCTGCTGCTGTGTGGGGAGGTATGGAACACCATTTCCTCCATCGGTCATTTGCATTTCCCGCTGCCGGGTGCCCACAGCGCTTTCTGGCAGATCGACGCGCTTCCTGGTTTGCTTTCGCGCTTGGATTAAACTTCACATCTACCGTGTGACTACTCTACGGTGGCCCGAGCTGTCAGGACAAACACAAAAGTCACAACACAAATACAAAAGCCAAAACACAAATACAAGAGCCACCTCGTAAACATAAAACCCTGACTAAAGTCACGCAACCGGCAACAGACGTAACAATACCTGGAACCGGAAGACAAGCCCTGTTTGCTAACAGAAGACTAATCTTCCCGTTTGATAAGCAAGTGTAACGTTTTTCATTAGTTAACCGCAATGCTGGTGTACCGCTATGCCAGAAGGTGGGTTCACTGACGACTGCGTGTTTGTTAACCTTGTGAAGAAGGAAAGATTGCGTTTTGTGTTTGTGAGTCAAACGGGCAATATTTGCCTTTAAGTCCGCAAGCAAAGCTCCTTCTTCATAGAATTTCTGGCAGGCTAGATTCTTTTTTGTCTGTATACATAATTTAAAAAAACACGTCTGTTGTGGTTTTTGTATTTGTTTTGCGGCTTTTGTGTTTTTGTTGTGGCTTTTGTGTTAGTGTTGAGGCTTTTTTTTTTGTCCCAACACCTCTGGGCCACCATACTACTCGGCTCTACTCGCCCTGATTTAGGATGTTTATTATAATAAATCAGTTACTAACAAACAAACAGGCCGACTAGCCTCTGACGCCACTTGTATGCCACAGAAACGACGACAATTAAAGACTCTGTGGCCACGATAAAACTCTGTGTGGTAGCGCCTATTAGGCGTGTGACTTGCTGGCCAATTGGGAGTCTGACTGCGTCAAACCAATTCCACTGGGCGGGTAGGTTCTAAAAAATCTGGACTGATGCACCAGATACGAATGAAAATGCTAAAAAGAAACTGAACAGACTCAAGCTGAATAGGTCCTAATGCAAAACCCCGAATAGTCTAAAGGTGTGGGGGGGAAAAACACCATCGGCTTCTCACCTTTGAATAGTCATCTGACAGGATGTCAAAGGCCACAACTGGGAGGGAAAAAAGAAAATGAGTACACCGAGTGGTCAGTGAGGTGGAGATGATGAAGCTGGAGGAGGACGTGGTAACAGGCTCACCGTCTGAATCCAAGCACCGCTCAAACTTCAGCGACAGCTGATAGGTGTCGTAGCAGCGGATCCTGGGTTTGTAAGTGCCTGTAAAACAGATAATTGGGACCAGAACTTTTCTGAAAGGAGGGATTCTGGGAGCTCCTCTTACCTGCGGCCAGGATGAACTGACCGTCCCGGGACACTCGGATGGAGCTGCACACGGTGGGCATCTCAAAGTCCTGGATGAGCTCAATCCTGCGCTGAATGTCTGATGGGAAAACAGAGGGACAGAAAATCAGGACAAATGTTTTGGAGGGAATGACCCTGTCTGCGTTTCGGAACATCTCAGCCATCAACTCACCGACATCTTTCTTTTGAAGCTGCCTTTTCTTCCGGTCCGACAACCACTGTACAAGATTAAACGATGATAGAAAATATAATGAAACATGACTGTAATCATCCCCCTACGACCCCATTGGCGAACAAGCAGTTACGAAAATTGATGGACTTCGAGTGCCATTTATTGCTACTTGAAAGTATTCTTTATTTCATAGTTCCAAGTTGGGAAAAAATGTGATGACAAAACTAATATTACTGGAATATTGGGGAAACGTGTGTCAAACCCATCTTTGGGTTTTAGGTTTCAGTGTGTGAGGTATGCTTTAATAGATTATCGAAACAATTTTCTCGTAGCTAGCCGATGTTAGCAAAACGCCATTTCTTACCTCTGGAAGAGACTTTCCATGACTCAAATTATATATTTTAACATCGTTTACGTTTGATATCTGCATTTTTAATAGTTAACGATGCTACGACCCCTCATTACACATACGCTACGATCCACGTTGTTTTCGACGAACCAAACACCGGAAGTCGCTGGGACTTACAGTCGGTCCGATTGGAAACTAGATGGCGAGCACTATATTAAAGGTTCCGGGTCACGACAAATTCAAACAAAATAAAATTTGGAGCACCACAAGGTACTGTTCTCTGTTTTCCTCACTATATAAACCTGAGACATTAGGCACACAGACATTTATCGTTGGCTGAATAAAGGAGCTGGCCAGTTATGGCTCTTATGGACTGGGTTAACAGTCACTTCATCTTGAACAAACTCAATGATTTCCCCAGGGCTCATCTGAAGACGGTGGCAACCATGGAAAAGTACTTCCAGTTGGCCTTGAGGAGGTTCTGGCAAACCATTGTACCATTTCACTAGGGGATTCAGGTTGCATGAAACTGCTAACCTGAACAGAGATTATTTACAGGTGTGAAAAGGCACACATTAAGATCTAAGTCCAGTGAGGAGTGTAAAGAATTGGGATGAGAATCATCTATCAGCCTGGTGAACATCATCTTTTGAAGCCCAAGTCTTCAGCGAGCACCTCCTCTCCAGACTCTTACCCTGTACCTCTCCATCCCCTGTACCACTCCCTCTGTACCCCCCCTCTATCTCTACACTGTCACCACTGTTGCCTCTAACAGAGTCCGACAAGTGATTTCCTTCCATGTAGCTTTGTGATGGTAACTGCAATGTTGTATCTGCATGGGAGTTTGCTTTGGATAAAAGCATTTGCTAAATGCAGAACATAAAGACGCACCTGATGTGGTTTGGGTGCCTCCTGCTCAGCTCACCACAGGGGGCTATCCAAGCATGGGGGAGAGACCCAGAAGTCACTGGAGAGATTGTAGATCCCTTGTGGCTGGGTAGTGTCTTCGGAGGAGGCGGGGCATGTCATTAGGCTGAGGGATGTATGGGTGTCCTCCTGAACCAAATAAATGGATGGATCAATTACTGGATGGATCATTAGCAAAGATGTCTACAGGACCTGGGATGAGAAGAGTTCAGGGTTAGTAGCTGTTTTAAATACAAACTGTTATGATAGGATAAATGATAGGAAAGGATCATTCCTTTTGACACAGAAATATGTCTGAAAACAACAGCCGATTAAACATTTGTGCAATCATCACTGATCCCATTATTTTGCTAACAGGAAAGATGCCGTGATCACAAAGGTTTTTCAGCCTCTGCACACTGGTTTTGCTGACTCCTGAACATTCCCTAGATGAGGGAATCCAGAGCACATGATAGCAGTGGAGGTTGCATTCATGCTCTCACCAGAGTTTTGTGAATTTGCGAGCTTTGGGATTAATTTGTGTTCATCTCATCTTTGCACACAAAAGGGAGCTTCACTTCACGTTTAGCAGCTTTTAGGATTAACAGCACATCCAACTCCGAATATTTTTTTCTTCAAACGCTCATTTGCTCAAACATCCTGGAGTGAGACGTCCTGTCCTGAAACAGACAGCAGGCAGGCTGTCAGTCAGTGTAAAGTGAAGCTGCTGCTCAGACTCGAACTCTCACAGAGGAATCGTTACAGGATGATCACGAGGATAACCTGAAGGTAAGACAATGCCTTTATAGGCTCAGTTTGAGTCTATCCTAAAATGTATCTTTGTTAGCCAGATCTATAATCAAGAAAGAAGTTAGGTGATCATTGTGATCAGAGAGAAATTTGTATATTTTGAGTTCTTTATACTAAGCTATTTAGTTTAGAATGAAAATGTACACATATTTATATGTTTCCATTTGTAGAAAAAATTTAAGATTGCAATTATTTGTCATTGATCGCAGCCTTTTGGAGCCAAAGGCTGTTTTCGTGTGGAGGATTTCTAAGTTGGGCTTTCTATGTGAAACACTGGAAGTCATGACGGACTTTTGGTTGATTTCTGTCCCTCTGGATAAGACCAGTTCAACCAGTTTAGACAAACTCAAGCGCACCATCACCAAAACAAAACTGGCCTCCTGCTCCAGGTTCTCCATTCCAGACCTAAAGGTGAGGGTGTGTAACATCTGTACCAGGGAAGGGTTGTAAAAATAGGGTCAATTCACAGTACAGAATAAGGTTTTCCTTTCTTAAAGTCAGTAAAAAACTGCGTGTTTGTTTTTTGTTTATACTGGTACAGTAGAGTGTTGCTGAGGAGGGTGATGGTGTTTGGTGTCCTCTAGTGAGGGATCGAGGCTCAGGTTGCTCACTACAGTTTGAGGCAAAATTTCCATCTGACCCATTTCACTCAGCATGATCAATGTCCAGACTCCCTGCCAGAACTGTTGGGTTCAGATCTGATAATGAAGCCCCTTTAAACATGGGGCTGGATTTGCCATAGGGGCTAAATCTTTGAAGCAAATTTGGTTAAATAGGGACAAAATTGTCTCCCACGTAAAAAATATTGAGCTTCTTATGATATCAAGGTGATACATGAGTCCCAGTGATGTCTTTGCTCTGGATGCAGGTGGGAATCCTGGACAGTCTCCTCAGGGTGGCAGATGATCTCTCCAAACTCGACACGCTAACCGAGAGGTAAAAATGTCCAAACAGCAATTATCCGAGCGACATATTCTCTGCTTGATGTGTTCATGGACTTGAGGCCCATTTGTCCAAAGGATCATTGGAAGTTTGTAGCCTAATGTGATGGTTTGTCCTCCATTAAGACTGGAAACTCTGAGCTTGTGTGCGGTCTAGGCCATGTTTAATTCATGCTCAGGGGCCGCTGGGGGTTAGTTTTCACTCCTGAATTTAAATTAATCACTGGTCTTTTTTAAAAAGATACAGTGTAAATGGTGATATAAAGCCCCCAAACTACATGTGGCTGGATCAAGGTAAGTGATAAAGGGAAATAAATGTTCTTTTTTTAATTACAAAATCAAAAAAATAAAACTCTGCCCAACAATACCGCCTGGAAGTAAAATTTTTACCTCAAAGAAATGCAAATACTAAGATTGCAAATGCTAACTTTCCAATAAAATGAGAGCTCATGACAAAGAAATGCAAGAGTAGTAATGGGTTGGTAGCATCCTCCTCCTCTGGGGTGATTTAGTGAATCTAGCGAGTGAATCTAAGTAATAACATAAGTATTGCCCTAAAATAGTGATTATCAGACCTGTGTTTACCATGTGGCTGGTATTTTTTATCATATGCACATTCTAGCTAGATCGTCGTAGTTATGTAAAGTAACCTGAGTCCATAAAGTGAACCTAGTTTACCACCAACAGTCTGGTAGTGCTTTTGTTTCCACTTGAACTTCCCTCACCATTTACTGTGTGAGTTTTATGTTTCACTTAATTCCTGGTTTTTCTTTCACTTTATGATTTCCTTCTCACAATTTTTCCAATGAGTAGCTATACTGTGTGTGTTGTGCTGTGCATTTATTGCAACATTCATGGCCTGTACACCCTTTCTTTTATTTACAATTTGGTACTAAAAAACAACAACTTAAGGAAAGTTCTCAATTTAAATCTTAAGACCGCTTAAGTCACAAACTCGAGGTAGACTTAAAAACTCGTGTTCATGGCAGATGATGCAGGGCTGATGGTATTTTCCTGTTCCCTGCTCAGCGTTATAAAAACAACATGCCAGTGTATGAAGGAAGTGATGGAGCCATCCAGTGACAAAGTGCTAGACAATGGTTTAGCCAATGGAGGTGAGTCATGCACTCTCATGCTGGAGGTGTTATTAGTAAGAACATACAGGCCAAGGCAACTCTGCTAATGAGGCCTGAAGCTACTCCCGAGCCCCTCCAGCATTGAGCGCCTTCAGTTTGTGTCAGTAAACGACTTATTGACACAAACCACACTAACTATGATCACTGTCCCCCATCAGAGCACAGCACGAACCAGAGAGCCGCCCTGTTGCCTCAGAAAGCTCATCTCACACCCCTCAGAGGTACTCGACCTTTAGCGAATGTGCTCTCTGAGCTGGAGTTCCCATCATGTGTGCATCTCTGCAGCGCTGACTTCAACTTCAAGTTCAACTTAAAAGTTAAAAGAAGTTTTAGAAATTAAGTTAGATATCATAACACTGTGTGTCTGTTTGGTGTGTGTGTGTGTGTTTCCCAGTGGATCTGATCAGCTATGTGACGAAGTTTCAATGGGACAAAGCTAAGTATCCCACAGCTCTGCCCCTCTCCAGCCTGGCAGAGCTCATCAACAAGGTACAAACTTATTAAAGATTTGTGGTGTTAAGTAGCCAACAGATTATTATGTTTATGGAAGCCATGTAGCTTCTGTTAGAAGTTTCTATGTGTGCGCTTGTTTCAGCGACTGTCTCTGAAGTTTATCAAGTATTTATTGTTTTATGGACGTAATCTGTGTACTGTTGTATAATAGGTGCTCGTAGAGCTACTGCCCATCCCAGTCCAATAGTCAAGTCAAGTCAAGTAGGCTTTATTGTCAATTTCTTTACATGCGTTACATGCGTTGATCATACAAAGAATTGAAATTTCGTTTCTTGCTCTGCCGTGCAGACATAGACATAAATTAGATGAGTTAGATAAATTAGACATGTAATAAGAAAATTATGTGATGTAATAAATAAAAAAGTGATCAATTGTAATGTGCAATATTTACAATACAGTCATTCAAGTAACAGGCATGAAGAAAGCGGCAGCGTGCGTGTGTGTGTGTATATGTGTGTGTATGTATGTTTTTTGAGTTGGTTCAGTGTGTGTGTGTGGGGGTTGGCTTGGGTCTCAACCAATAGTTGATTTGTAGGAATTCAACTAGATCAAGCACCCTAAAGCATCACTAGCATATGTTCATGATTAATAAACACCCATACAGACACTAATGTACACAATACACTCTTGCTGAATGTTCTGTTTCGCAGGAGGTTTCGCAGGTGGAGACAGAATTGAAATCCCGAACTTCAGCATTCAACAGCGTGAAAGCAAACTTGCAAAGCCTCGAGCACAAGCTGGAGTGAGTGACAGGTTTGAGAAAGTGCCGTTAAGCCATGCGGACATCTTCTGAGCTGGCCTTTCTGTCTTTCCAGGGGGAGTCTGCAAACCCGCGGTCTGAACGGCTTCTTAAGGAAAGAAGACCTGGTGGTTTCAGAGTACCTCACCACTCTGCTGGTTGTGGTGAGCAGGTCAGTCACATGACACGTTTGCCTCCACATGCACGCTGCGGGGATATTTTCCCTAATGTGAGCACATGTCTGCACGTCTCCATGCACGCAGAGGGAGCTACCTGAAGTGGGAGAAAAGCTACGAATCCTTTTCAGAGTTTGTGGTTCCACGGTCAAGCAGGTGAGTTTCTTGTTTCTTGTGAGCCAGCGTGCCACCAAAGATCTAAAGTGCCTGTTCCCTGCCTTCCAAAGGTCAGACTACGACTAAAGGTGTTGCATTACCACCAGAAAGTAAAAGTCTCCGCAGCTTTTTCAGAAGCAAGGAAGAGGATTTTGTTGTCAGAGCCTGAGCAGAAGCTCTTAATAATTGAGAACTTTATGATCTCGGGCCAGAATGTGAAGAACAAGTAGAATTTAAAGCACCTGTAAATAAAGTAAGACCTACAGGTGTTGACACTAGGCTTTCCTCCAACAGGTAGAGCATATGAAAAGTAAAGAAAACTTCAAAGGAAAATTATTTTGCTCCAAACCTTCAAACAGCATCAAAGCTTCCCACCTTCAGGTTTTGTTACGGATGAACATAGATGCAGTGGGACTACTGTATTAATATGATGTTGCAGGTATTAACTATTGATAATGATCTTATATAACACAAGTTCTCTATTTCAGGCAACTTAAATAAAAATCTATCAGGTTGCTCAGTTATAGTCTCTGATGCAATAATAGTAATAACTAAAAATTAATTATTTTAATCCATCCATCCATTTTTCTGAAATGGGGTTGTGGGGGGACTGGAGCCTATTTCAGTAGTTAATGGACAAGAGGATACACCCTGGATGGTGTTATGTTAATCATTATAACATAATATGAATGAATTGAATAATAGTTTTTATTAATAATCATGTCATAATAAGTATCTGTGGACTAATAAGTAATACCTGCTATTTACCTGGCAGCCCAGATGCTTTCACTGTTTTCTTTTTGGTTAGGGTTAGGGTTAAAAGTAGCAGCTAACCCTAACCCTGACCCAAAAAGTAGCAAAACAAGGCATTGTTTGTTATCTCCTGTCATCATCGATATAACTGCATCATGCTGTAACTTTAAAAACTTGTTTAATTGGTCTCATACTTAGGATGTGCTGACAAGACTCCCCAGAGCGCTCATCTCTAGGATAAAAAGAGGGGAATGTGCAACCATTTGAGTCATAAAACTATGAGTGCAAGAATCTCTGACCTTAGTTTAAACTGCTTTTTGTGGAGCAAAAGATTCTCTGTTTTAAAGCAGAAACTGGTGGTCATGCATCGCCTGAGAGTTTTATGTGAAAAAAAAATTGCTTAAACCAGAGCGGGACATTTGTTAGGTATTCATGTCATGTAATTATCATGAGATCATTAGAGCAATTTAAGGATAATCCCTGTGTGTATTGATAGATAAAATAATAATAAGAATAATTTATATTGACAGTGTTTTAGGAAGTTCTTTATTCTTGTTATGACGCTATGATTTTGTAGGTATTTTGTAGACTTTTTGGTCAGAATTGTGTTCTGACCAACAGGAAACTGTTCGAGGACTTAGAGGGGGGAGTCTTCTCAGTAACCCTCTTCAAAAGAGCTGTGTGTGAATTCAGAGCCAAAGCTCAGGAGAGCAAGTAAGTACGAGGACTTGTCAGAAAATGCCCCGTGGAGTCAAAGCTCCGCCATGTGTGTCTATTACCATAATGTAGTCTCTGATCCAAACAGGTTCATTGTGCGTGAGTACAGCTTTGATCTGGAAGAAAAGAAACAGCAGGATCTCACACAGCTCAGCGCCCACAAGAAGGAGCAATACGTGAGTTAGAACATTTAGTCTGCCCTCCATAGCTTTGTCAGACCGTGTATGTAGTATTTATGCATTACAGGGAATCTTTGTGCGTTGGCTGAGGGTGAATATCAGCCAGATGTTCATTGCCTGGATCCACGTGAAAGCATTAAGGGTGTTTGTGGAATCCGTCCTCAGGTTGGCGATGGTAACATTACTAAATATCTCTCAATTTTAATTGAAACGTGATAGATTTAATGAGACATCTGTGCAAACTATGTCCTCCTAGGTACGGATTGCCTGTCAATTACCAAGCTCTTCTGCTGCAGACTGACAGAAAACGTTCCAAAAAACTGAAGGAGGAACTTTCATTACTGTTCGAGCATTTGGACCCAAAGGGCATCACGACAGACGTAAGAGGCCTCGCTGACTTTTGAAGCTTTGTGTAAATGTAATCCAAGAGACAAGATGGTGTCTGATCAGACACAAGCCTACAAATGAATTCCTGCTTTTGTTCTCCAAATGACTTCACCTATGTTACCAGCTTTGGATAATTTAGTAACTATAATTCTAAACCTTTGAAAATGAAACAGAAGAAAATTGCGTTTGTACAGTTGTGCCTAAATGATCAATAGACATTCTTCATCTTACCAGTGGGGGCCACTATGCATGTAAACGTTAACACATCAGTCAGGAACTCTAAAAACATGGAAGAGCCAAAAAAAATTCTGTAATCTTTAAAACAATGAAGGCCAGTTTGACTTATAAGGGTCCTGCAACTTTAACTTTAAAGTCTTTAGATATTGTTCGGGTATCCATGCTTATAGCTGAAGCTAAACTTAAACAATGAAACCTGAATGGTTTCAATGAAAAAAAATGGTCTCTAACACAAACAAAGACACTTACCTGCAAAAATCACACCATTCAGCTCCACAGAAGTAGATTTAGATCAACGAGGAAGCAGTGCAGAGTACCGCAGAGCTGGAGTTAGTCCATAAATCTGGCAAAGGGAGAGGCAGCGAATATGGATGCCCGAGGACAAAAACACAGAGAAATCCAACTATCCTCCGGCATCGTGGCTGGCACATTTTGGGGGATTTTTTTTTTTCTTCGTCTTCAAATGTGTGTTTACTTTGATATCTGAACGATTTAGATTACAGTCAACCCATCTGCCACCCCTCGCCATGACAACATGTTTCTGATGCAAATGTGTTCACGCGTTTGCAGGTCCCAGATTGACAGCTTTGGTTTGGGCTCCGGCCCGCACGGTGCACTGTTGACAGTGTAGACCTGAATTTGCATAGAGCGCAGACCGGTTTCGCAGCTTTTAACGTGTTTGCATGTGAAACCCTTTTTTCCCTTTGCTGTCTGGCAAACAGGCGAGCTCTGACATCCCGGGACTCTGCCAGCAGGAGTACTCCTCCTACATCTGCTTTCACATCAGCACCAGCCTGCTGGAGACCAGCGAGAAATCAGGGACGTGACCAACAAAGCACAAGAACCTCGTCGCAAATGCTGCAACCTCAGAATGTCCGAGCCACAGAAATACCCTCACCAGTAAAACAGAATACAACAGAACATCAGTCTCACATATCTCAATTTCAAGGATGGAGATATGAATATAAAGGATCCTCATCAAGACGATGTCAGCTGCACATACACGATTCTAGGACCGTTTAAATACCTTCAATGCATCACGGGATGTATCTGAAATAATTTTGTCAATATTGTGTGTCTACAAATTAAATTATTTTAAATCTTTCAAGGAGTCTTGAAACTGTCTCAAACTTAGAGAGTTTTTCAACAAAGCTCGTCATTATTTTCCATCTTTTTTATAATATAAACAGCAAACATCTTCCATTTTTATTTACCTTGTGTAATTTTTAGTATTTGATCTGAATGAATGGAGGACTAAGGTTAGGATAAGGACCATCAGTATATGACTAATATTATTGTAAGATATTACTGACATGCTAAATGTTAAAATGGTTGAGTGTGCTTTGGAAGATTCATTTCCAATCTGAGCTGAATAAGTACAAAGACTAACAGGTTGTGTCTGAGATACTGAGTTTTGAAATACTACTTGTTTGTTATCCAACCACCATTAGTCAGAGGTTTGGATGCCACAATTACAGCAGTAGAACATCATCAAGGCTTTCCTCGTCATGATGTTCATTGTTTTATTCTGCTTTTCATGTGTTTTGGTTTTTGCATGACACATGCCAAACCTGATTATGCAAACATGGATCAATCAACTGCTAATCCATCAATGTAGCCCAGATAATCTGTCACTCTACTATGTTCCTGAGCAATGTAAAGCTGTTCAGAGACCTGGATGAGAGGATTTCATCCCACTGAATCCTGGAATCATATTCTCATACTGTGTTTTTTCTAAAGACCTCTCAACCATGTATGGTCAATCATTTTGAAGACACGCTCTCATTGGATTGTTTAGATAGAAAATACATTTGATGTTACACATTCTGGAAATGGCACAAATAAAAATGTGTATAGGAAAGCATCCAGTTCGGACATGTGATAACGCCATCAAGTACAATTAATTGTAGTTTTTAAGTAAATATTTGCAGACTCTTTTCAGGGCTGAATGTTATTCATTGCTCAGTCACCAGAGAGTGCTCTCTGTTTACCAAGCATCGATTTTCACTTTAAAAAAACAAGCATTTGAAGCATTTTGCGGAGTTTTCTTTTAATTGTGCATTGCACTGAGCATTGTCAGTCTCAGGGGATAAAAGATTAAATGTTCTCCTCCATAAAAATCATTAGACATATTCCCTTTTATTTGACTAAGATATTAACCTATATACTGCAGCTGAACTATTCTTTGAATTAATAACGTTTTAAAAGAAACTTTGTGTTAGACTCTTTTTTGCTTTTCAATCAGATTTCAAATGAATATGCTCCTGTTTGATGGCGTAATTGCTCAGATCTGTGTGTGCCTAAGAGACAGAGAGAGAGAGAGAGAGAGAGAGAGAGAGAGAGAGAGAGAGAGAGAGAGATGGGAGGTGTTAGGAAAGCTGGCCACCCAAGCTGTGCTGCTCAGTGCACGGAACAGTTTGAAGGAGAAACATTTTACGCATCAAGATAATGGGCATTGTTTCTGGCTAGTCCACTTTACTTCGACGTTTTTGGATACCCTCTTTAGTAGTAAATAAAATGTGGACAGTTCCGAAGCCAAATTACAGGACTGGTTTGTGCACGGAAGGGGAGATTGCTGTGAACATTGGGGGGGTCAGAGTGGTGCTTTCCGGGGACGTTTTGAAGCGTTACCCGGAGAGCAGACTGGCGGAGCTGTTGGACTGCTCAACTCAGAATTCTGAACTTATCTCGTCCCTCTGTGATGATTTCGACGCGGGCAAAAAAGAGTTTTACTTCGACCGAGATCCCGACGCCTTCAAGTGCATCATCGACGTCTACTACTTCGACGAAATCCACATAAAACGCGGCATTTGCCCCATCTGCTTCATCAAGGAGATGGAGTTTTGGAAGATAGAGCAAAGCGTTTTGGACGAATGCTGTAAAAGTTACCTGAGCGAGAAGGAGGAGGAGCTGAAGGAGATCGCAAACAAAGTTAAAGTCATCCTGGAGGATCTGGATGTGGAGCAGTGCGTCACGCGCACTCAGCGGTGCCAGAAGTTTTTGTGGAGGCTGATGGAGAAGCCGGAATCGTCCCTGCCCGCGCGCGTCATCGCGATCGCATCCTTCCTGTCCATCCTGGTGTCGGCGGTGGTGATGTGCATAGGCACCATCCCGGAGCTCCAGGTGGCGGACGCTGAGGGGGAACTGGTGGAGCATCCGACCCTGGAGGCGATCGAGACCACGTGCATGTTGTGGTTCACGACAGAGTTCCTGCTGCGCCTCGGCTCCTCTCCAAACAAGCTGCGCTTCGCGCTCTCCATCATGAACATCATAGACTTCATGGCCATCATGCCTTTCTACGTGGTCCTCTCCCTCACCCACTTCGGTTCTTCATCTATGATGGAGCTGGTGAATGTCCAGCAGGCTGTCCAGGCGCTGCGCATCATGCGCGTGGCGCGTATTTTCAAGCTGGCGCGCCACTCCTCGGGACTCCAGACGCTGACCTACGCGCTGAAGAGGAGCCTCAAAGAGCTGGGCCTCCTCCTCATGTACATGGGGGTGGGGATCTTCGTTTTCTCCGCTCTGGGCTACACCATGGAGCAGAGCCACCCGGAGACGCTTTTCAGGAGCATCCCCCAGTCTTTCTGGTGGGCCATCATCACCATGACGACCGTGGGCTACGGGGACATTTACCCCAAAACCACCCTGGGGAAGTGCAACGCAGCCGTGAGCTTTCTCTGCGGAGTCATAGCCATCGCCTTGCCCATACATCCCATCATTAATAACTTTGTCGTGTTCTACAACAAGCAGAAGGTTCTGGAGACAGCAGCCAAACATGAGGTGGAGTTGATGGAACTGAAGTCTGGAAAGCAGGTGCGCAGAAAAAGTAAGGAACAGTTAGAATGATGCAAGACTAAGACCTGTAAACTCCCAGAAAAATAGAAAAAGTGCTGTAATATCATCTGAAAAAGATTCCAAGATGGACTCATCAAGGACCTGAAAAGCCACAACCGGATGCTTGTACATATTGCTGTAACACAAATGTTGCCTTTAAGCTGTTGTTGCTTTCTTTGGGCAACATAACGTGCTGCTTCTGTAGGTGTGGATGTTGTTACAGATTAGACACTCGTGCATGACAAATCTTCATATGCTTCAGGAATCATTGCATATGTATCAGTTCCAGTTAAAGTGAATCCAAATAATAGTTTGTCGGAAATTTTCTCCTCTGAACGTTCTTAAAAGAAGAAAAAAAAAGTTTTGTACACAAAAATATCCTGGGTCTTATTAAAAACATTCAATTACAAGTTGTAATATGGTGTGAATAAAGGAAGAGCGTTGTTAAAAAAGAGCTGAAATGATGTATAACTGTCACCAAAATGTGGATTACAGAGGAATATTGTGCTTCACAACGGCTATTAAAGTTGAATCATTGATCCCACTGGGCCATGATAATTGTGTGTGTGTGATGTGATGGTTTCCCAAGGACAGAAGGAGACAGTTAAGGGCTACAAATCAAGTTTTAATGCAGCTGAAAGGGGCTAATTTTTCTTAATAAAAACAGTCTTTGGTTACTGTATGTTGAGACAGTGTTGCATATACAGACATTTCCTTTATTTTCAATTAATCTTATTTCTAAGTTAGTTGAGGAATGTTAAAATATTGTAGTTTTCCTTTGATTTGCCTCCAAATACAATGTAAATGAACTCTGTTAACAGTTAAAGTGGTCACACTGATGAAGAAATGAACAAATAACCTATTTTTCATATGTATTAAGTCTTTTTGTTTCCAAACATTCAAAGAGTATTTCTAGAGTCATTACCAGGTTTTACAGGATGAAAATGGACAAAACAAGATTAAACAACCAACAACAAAAAACAAAAACAAAACAAAACAGGAAATCTTCTGAAAATCAAAATGAGGAACACAGAGTGAATGATTTCTAACATCAAATGCAATCTAGCAGCTCATCAGTGAACAGGAAGAAGACAAAGAACCCGGTTAGCAGGTTCCAAACGGTGGGAAACGAGATGGAACAGTCTGATTGCCAATTTCCCCCAAAATTGGCCCAATCTCCGTTTGCACCCTGGTGACTTATCCGGGTCAGGCTCCAGACTCGTCTCCTCTGACATCCTGCATCCAGTGAGGATGGAGAACCCTGTCAACTCATCACCACGAAATCCACCCTGTGCAATTTTTGAGCATATGGGTGTATCTTTTTGACCTATATGTCATCATGTAGGAAAAACATTTTTCCCAAACAAAGTTTGGAAAAAGCATTATTATTATTATTATTATTATTATTATTATTATTATTATTATTAT